ATCACATGATGAAAATATTTCAGTAATGTTATGAAGTATGAAACAATTATTTTAGATTTAAAAAATATATATATATATAAACTAAACGCGGCTTAAATCACATTAATTTAATCCTCATTTGACAAGTGAGTTAGGTTATGTTAGGATTAAAAAAAATATAAAAATATAAAATAGATTAAGTCTATGTTTGGGATATAAGTTGACTTTTTAACTTTTTAATTATTTTAACTTGAGACTAAGGCCCCGTTTGGGAACAGACTAATTTAGTAACTTTTTGGCTATTTGGCTAAAATATGAGCTAAAAAAAACTAGTATGTTTGGGATGACTTTTTGACTTTTTACGAAAAGATGTGCAAAAAGTAGAGAGAAAAGAGAATCTTTGACTTTTTGGTATGGGTTGTTGGCTTTTTGGCTAATTTAGTAACTTTTTGACTTTTTGGCTAAAATGGTGGGTTCCCAAACGAGGCCTAAGTCTCGTTTGAATAAACTTTTTGACTTTTTTAACTTTTATGATAAAAAATAAATGATTATTATTTAGATGTGACATTTTATTTTATTTGGCTAAAATAATTAATTTTATTCTATATGACTATTTTAGCCCAAATAGGCATGTCAAACATAGGGGCAATTTAAGAACTTCATAAAAAGCCAATTTTTTTGATTTTTTACCAAGTTCTTCCAAAAAAATCACAAAAAATAAACTAAAAAAGTCATTTTTTTTTGCTAAAAAAGTCACTAAAAAACTAAAAAAAACTAAAAAATCAGTTTTTACTAACTTCCCAAAACACCCCATAGCTAATAAGATAAAATCAGGGATGGCAATAGATAACCTACCCTGTGGGTATCTATGGAGACCCAACTCAAATACATGGGTTTTCCCCTCTTTTTCTTATCTATTGGGTAGGGTAAGTGATATTCTTTAAATATCCACAGGGGATGGGTTGAGGATGGGTACCCACTAATTTCCCGATATGTTTTTTTTTTTTTTTTTTATTTTTATTTTTTTAGGAACATCGGAAAATAATTTCTCCATATGTTTTTTTTTTTTTTTTTCACTACACCAAAACTAAATATACATTCAATCTTTTTTCTTTTTTTAATTTATTTATTTTTTCAGGTTCACAACCAATTATTTATTTATTTATTTATTTATATTTTATTTTATTTTATTTTAGACTCAAATCAGTTTGATAAATTTGATTTGACTCATTAATTGAAAGTATACCGTGTCTTGGTAAGAGGTCATATGACCTGTTGCAATTGCAAGTATGATCCACCCTATCCTTGTGACACAGCTTTGAGTAAAGGAAGGCAACCCCTTCATGTGTAGCTCTCTCCTACACCCCGTTGTAAACGGGGAAGCCTGTGTACTTATTTGGTCGGAAGGAATTGATTGACTAAACATCTTTTGCTTCCCCTTAGATTAGAGCCAGAGGGCTATTGCATGCATGATTGTTTTGTGATAGGATGCACTTTAAGCATGATCTCGAGTCCCCTATCAAAAGGCAATGGGAAATACATATTGATTGCATTAATTGTAGCAAAAACAGAAATAGATGATTCCTTGATATATTTTCAGACCTGGCCCAAAATATAAACAAAAACAAAAAATATTAGAGAGCTGCAGAAAGACTTGGGCTCTGTTTGAAACCATTTTCAAATGGGTTTTCCACTTGGTAGTTTGAATATGATGTTTGGATAGAGTTGTGGAATTAATTTTCCACAACTCAGCAGAAAACTCTGTTTGAGAGAGCGATTTTGGAAATTTGGCCTAACCGGTCGTCCCACCAGACGTCCAGCTGGTTGACCGGAACAGTGCAATTTTTTTTTTTTGCAATTGATATGTTAATTTTTATATATACGAAAATATTATTTTCCGAATTTTTTAAAAAAATTTATGTGCTTTAATAGAATTTTGAGTTATATGTTTGGTTATGATTTGTAAATTTTTGTATCAAATATCAAATGTCACATCAAATATTCCCTACTTATTTCAAAACTCTTTTCAAAACTATTTTTAAAACTTTTTCACCAAACAAATTTTCCACATTCAAATTATAATTCCAAAACCCACAAACTCAAAATACAACTCATACTCTCAAATCATAGTTACAAAGCTCTACCAAATGCAACCTTGATCTTCTTGATATAAAGACTTTCTAATGGGGCCTAATTATATATACTTTGAATTTGTTCTAGGTTTGTCAAATACCGCAGGGACATTTGCTGCTATTGTGGGAACAGTTGGAGCTGGTTTCTTTGTCGAATTAGTGGGTTCTTTCCAGGGATTTTTGTTGTTGACATCACTGTTGTATTTTTCGGCTGCTCTATTCTATAACTTATTTTCTACAGGAGAGAGAGTCAATTTTGATGAAACTGGTTAGATCATCATCTACAAGTGTGATAATTTTCCATTGCTACTTATTATAAAGGGACACATTTTTTTATGAATGAAATAGTATGTCGTAAATCCCATGTAAGTTATTGTAGATGTGTTGTAATGTTTTGGAATAGAAAGAACAGCACGTAGAGCTATATTCAATCATTGTCTTGTTATAATTTTTCTTTCTTTTTATTCAAGCAATTCTACATATCCTTCTATTTTTGTTAATGGACTAGAGTTTGATTTCAAAGGCTGCATACAGAACATACCATAGAACCCCGTGGGGTTCTTTTTTTGACTCAGAAATACTGTCCTTGTGTTGGATATGACCAGTGTCCCCCCTCAATTCAACTAGACAATTTGCATGGTATCAATCACTGACTGTTCTTCAAAGGTTTTCTGGGAATAGTTATACAATCTGGAGTAGTAATTTTTTAGCCATAGTCTATTGATACATATATCTATCTTCTATTTAGATTTGCTGATCAGTTCTTCAGTTGCTTTGGCTCATTTCAGCAACACCATCTGATGCAGTGTGAATGGTTAAGATTCGGAGACAGTATCATTGGAATGCATCAAAGGTTTTGGAATGGAAAGTAAGCAAGAAAATCGTGCTGCTATATTACTGTTTTTTGGGGGCGCTCCTTCAGTCAATATGTGCAACAAAATCCAGCTTGTTAGAGTTGAAAGACTTTAACCCTGGTCAAGCGCCCATTGAGGAGAGTATTAAGGAGTGTGCCCACCAGGCTGCCCGATGACTTGCTACAAAGTAATAATATATTAACAAATTTGTAGTTAGATTATAATGCATATCTGTCCATAAATTTGAACTTAAGGCCTCACAGGAGTCATCAAATGGGTCTTTTATTTAAAAATTGAAAATTATGTGGTTTAAAAATTATTCTCCCTTCTTCAAAATTAAAATAGGGAGTAGCTTCTTTTTAGTCTATAGTTTGAGTATAGACTAGAGAGGTGTAGTCTAGTTTGTGAGTCTCAGAATGAGTTTCATTTGATGATATGACTTGTTTATCTATACACCTTTATGAATAAATTCATGAAAGAAAGAAAGAAAGAAAAAAAAAAAAAAAAATGATCCGATAAGTATAATCGATTCACTTAATCACGTTTGTCATAAAAAAGAAAAATGAATAGTATATTTTTAAAAATACAATTGTCGTTCATTCTTTTGATGACAAACGTAATAAATTAAATATATTATAATTATTGGATCAATCTTTTTTTGTGTGATTGATATACACAAAATGTTCGACAGAATAAACGGTTCAGATAATTAAAACGAAACCTGTGACGAATCTCATGAATCTAAATAATACCTTTCAGTCCAGATCAATGACAAGAGGGACTTCAAGTCCTTATATTATATATTTAGCGTAACATTTCATGTGTTGGCATACTATATCCGATCTTATTATTAATGTCCATCTCTAATGCAATTATATTGTTTATGCGCAAACAAAAAATTACAAAATATAGATGGACTATTCCTACTAGTAAAGACTATTTTTCAAAGACGGGATAATTTAGTTTCATATTACATATTCTATTTTGATAAATTAATTTATAAATTATTTATTAAAAATAAAATTTATATACACATGAACCTAAAATATTAACAAATTATCCATGAATCCTAATCAGAGTGTTCCATCCTCAATTGAGAACTACAGATAACTTTTCCCGTGTACCAACATAAAAAGGAGAATTAATTAAGCTGATCTCATTATTTATTAGGAAAACTATATGGAGGTGAAAGAAAAGAAAAAGAATTATCAATATATGAAAGAGTACAAATGATATTTGCACCTCTTAAGTTTTTATTTGTATTTTACTATAAACACACGTACCTCTCATTTACTTGTAATTTTTTTTCTCAGTTTTGAAAAACCAACTAATAACCAAAAAAATAAAAATAAAAATAAAATAAGACAACCATCACATTAAAAGAGAGTCAACTCACTTATGTTTTTCTAGTGATGTTTTTTTAGTGCTACCAAACATTAATCTTTTTTTCTCTTTCACTCACTACATCTAGTTTCCCATTTATTAAGGAAATGATAGAAAATTCTATTGATATGACACCAAAAAAAATAAAAAATAAAAAAAACTTCAGCATCACATCACTGTGAAATGTACACAATTAAATTTAGAGTTTCCCAACATTTTTTTTATATTTATTAACATGAAAAAAAGATTAGAAACTCTAAAAGGAGAGTTTTAAAGAACTCTAATAATATGTGAATTTTATAATAATATGAAATTTGTGTTGTGTTTTTTTTCAAAAATGATTCATTCTTTTAATTTGAAAGCTCTAAATAAAACTTTAATAATTTGATAATAAAAAAAATTAAGATACAAACATTACATCATTGTGAGACCCACACACTATTAAAACTCTCTAAAATTTTTCTTTTAAAACTCTCAATTTTTTTTTTTTTTTTAAATTTTTAATTATCAAATCAATGAAACTCTGTTTGGAGCCATCAAATTAGAGTGAGGCACCATTCTTACTAATACCGCTTAGACAAATACCACGTGTCTATTTTCAAGAACTTGGTGGAATTGAATAAGAGCCATCCGACACGAAACAATCGCTGTAGAGATTAATATTAGTATAAATTGGACTTTCTTTAAAGAAGAAGAGAAAGGAAGACAGAAAGAAAGAAAGAAACCTGCAGACCAAAGAGAAGAAGAGGTCTACTACTCCCATGGCGCACAATAACATCCCTCCGATCGACCCCAGAAGTGGCTTCTGCAAATCAGACTCCATCTTCTACAGCAAACGCAACCCCATCCCGTTGCCTCCCAACGACTCCCTCGATGTCACCACCTTCATCTCCTCCCGGGCCCACCCAGGCAAGATCGCCTTCATCGACGCCTCCACCGCCCGCCACCTCACCTTCGCTGAGGTCTGGATGGCCGTCGATTCCGTCGCCTCCTCTCTCTCTTCCATGGGGATCCGCAAAGGCCACGTCATCCTCCTCCTCTCCCCGAACTCCATCTTCTTCCCCATTGTCTGCCTCTCTGTCATGTCTCTCGGAGCCATAATCACCACCACAAACCCCCTCAACACAACTCGCGAAATCGCCAAGCAAATCTCCGATTCCAACCCCGTCCTCGCCTTCACCACTCCTCAACTCATCCCCAAACTCGCCGACTCCAACCTCCCGATCGTACTCATCGGCGGCGATCAAAACCCTCCCAATTCCAAAATAGTGACTACATTGGAAGACATGATGAAGAAACAACCGAGCGAGAGCCGAGTCAAGGAGCGAGTGACTCAGGACGACACGGCGACTCTGCTTTACTCGTCCGGAACAACCGGAGCGAGCAAAGGAGTAGTGTCCTCGCATCGAAACCTCATCGGCATGGTTCAGACGATCTTGAGTCGGTTCAATCTAGAAGCCGGATATCAAACTTTCATCTGCACCGTCCCTATGTTTCACATCTACGGCTTAGCAGCGTTCGCGACGGGGTTGCTAGCATCAGGATCAACGATTGTAGTTCTCTCGAGATTCGAAATGGACGAGATGTTGTCAGCGATCGGGAAGTACCGCGCCACGTATCTCCCTCTAGTGCCGCCGATACTCATAGCGATGGTGAACGGGGCGGATCAGATACGGCGGAAGTACGATTTGGGGACGTTGCAATCGGTTTTGTCGGGAGGAGCGCCGTTGAGTAGGGAGGTGATAGAGGGGTTTGCGGAGAGGTATCCGACGGTTGGGATTCTACAGGGGTATGGGTTGACGGAATCGACGGGGATTGGGGCGTCCACGGATTCGCTGGAGGAGAGTAGAAGGTACGGGACGGCGGGGTTGTTGTCGCCGAGTATGGAGGCCAAGATTGTTGATCCGGACACTGGAGAGGCCTTGCAGGTTAATCGGACGGGTGAGCTTTGGCTCAGAGGTCCCACCGTTATGAAAGGTAATATAGGGTGTATGTTAAATAATAATTTTTTTAAAAAAAATCAGTAATAATATTATTAAAAAATTACATTTCTATTGAACAGAAAACAAATAATGTCATTTTTATGGGTACAAATTCTTTCTGTGGTTTGTCGTGAAACTATTCAAGTCATTTTTTATATTTGGTGTAAAATTTTCATATTTCATGTATATCTTTCATGCGTTAAATTTTGTACCCAAACAAAAACTCACTTATAATAAAATTACCTTCAAACGGTCCACTAAAATACTATTTCTCCAAATTATTTCGTTTCAGTTTTTTAAATTCAATTTTTTAAAAATTGAGTTTTTTATTTTTTATATTTTTTGCTTTTATTAAATATTTTTTTTTAATTTTTTTTAGAAATACTTTGCTTAAATGTATTTAAAAAGTAAAATATTTGTGAAAAAATATTTTAAAAAATTAATAAATACGTAAAAATACGAAAAATATACTGAATTTTTATTTTATTTTTATATTTTTAATATTTAGTGAATTTTTTAAATATTTTTTTCACGAAAATTATATTTTTTAAGTGTATTTATGGTAAGTGTGTCTAAAAATTTAAAAAAATTACTTAAAATATTTAAAAACTTCAGCAGAAACAAAAAAAAAACGGAAAATAATAAAATAAAATTTTTTGAAAAGTATTTTCAAAAAACTAGAAACCAACGTAGTGATTGTTGTTGATAATTCAGTTCGCATTTTTTTGGCGCCCACATTTGGTGAGGTTTTGTTTTGCTTTGCTTTTTTCTTTTGTTGCTTTAGTTTGTCTCAGAATATTTTATGGGATCAGGATCTCTCTCATTATTTTTTAATGATTTATATGTGTGTTATTTATTTGTTGGAACACCTTAGAATTATTTCAACTACTCAAGTTTATAATTAAAAAAAAATCATGTTAAAATACTGTGTATTTTTTTTAATTGTTTAATTTTAATTTTAGACATAAATCATTAAATTACCATTGCAAAACCATTGCAAAGAAATCATGGCAGAGTATCTTTATGCACGCAGTAGTCATCCCAAATCCTCTTTATGTATCCTTTAACGCCATGTTTGTTTGAGCGAACTGGATTAAATTGGATTAGTATTCTTATGACTAATAATCCTAGGATTACGAATCATTTTGAATTGTGTATCTTATCTTTTGTTTGGATTGAGTTAGAATTATAAGGAGGGATTAACAAAATATTATCCAATCCGATGTTTGTTTAAAGGGATTGGAATGAATAGGACATGACAGGACATGAGACATCTAATATATTGACCATAATACCTCTATTATGGTCATTTGTGAAGTTTGTTTAGTCCTCTAATTTATATCTCACTCTAATGTGGGATTGAATAGTCCATAATATGAGGGATATCATATCCGAATGGATTATGGGGGATACCATATCCGAATAGATTGTTAGTCAGTATTTTCATTTTTTAATCAGATATCGGATTAATAATTTTATTAGACTATTAGTCTAATCCCAAACACATATCCGTCCAAACAAACGTAACCTTAATGTAATCCATTTGGTTCATTTTTTTGTGTTCTGGCCCCGTTTGTTTCCAGAGATGGAATAGAGGGGATTGATAGTAAGGGGATTAATAGTGAGGGGATTGTTAGTGAGGGTCGTTTGTTTTCAGAGATAGAATGGAGGGGATTGATAGTGAGGGGATTAATAATGAGGGGATTGTTAGTGAGGGGATTGATATCCCCTCACTATCAATCCCCTCACTATTAATCCCCTCACTAACAATCCCCTCACTATTAATCCCCTCACTATCAATCCCCTCCATTCTATTTCTGAAAACAAACGGCCCTCACTAACAATCCCCTCACTATTAATCCCCTCACTATCAATCCTCTCCATTCTATCTCTGGAAACAAACGGGGCCCAAGGGTGTTAGTAATACCAAGGTATTAGTAATACCCTCCCTATCTCTCAAAACAAACAAGGTATTAGTAATACCAAGGTATTAGTTAGTCCCAAGGTATTAATAGTCCCAAGGCTATCTCTCAAAACAAACACCCCATATACTAATCCCAAGGTACTAGTAATCCTAATCCCCTTACTATAACCCAAAACAAACGGGACCTTAAATTGAAATTACCTTATTTATAGCGACCCCGGTCTTTTCTCTTTAATGTAATCCTTTTTTGCAATTTTTCATCATTTGGAGTTAAAATTTGGTTAAAAAGTGAGAACACTATCAACTTTCTCTTTTTTTGGGTCAAATCATTTTAAAATGTCACTTATTCCAAAAACTTCTTTAACCATTTTTAAGTAAAGGAAGCCATCTTTAATCCTTACTCTTAATTCACGGCAAAGTTGTGTATGCCAACAATCAGCCCGGATATGCTTATAATCCTCTACCAGCCGAACACCGCTAGCTATTTTTTCACTTATTAAGGATAATTTGCCTGCAACTTAGTGCTTTCTGGAACATTTACACGAACTAATTTTATTTGTAAATGTGGTTATTAATTGCAGGTTATTTTAGTAATGCTGAAGCGACTGCATCAACTCTAGATTCAGAAGGATGGTTGAGAACAGGAGATTTGTGCTACATCGACGATGATGGATTCATTTTCGTAGTTGATAGGTTGAAAGAGCTCATCAAATACAAAGGATATCAGGTGAGCTGAATTGAATTTCTGTATGCGTGTGCCTATGTTGCTCATGTTTGAATAGCAAATAAATTTTACTAAAAAAATTGCAATTTTTGATGGTAATATAACTTGAAACAAAGTTCTGATAAACATTTCAAGCAGTGATTCTAATGGAATTAGCCACTTGATTTGGTTTGGTAGGTCCCTCCAGCAGAACTAGAGGCTTTGTTGCTGACTCACCCTGATATTGCTGATGCTGCTGTTATACCGTAAATGCTCTTCACCATATTGCTGATGCTGCTCTTTTTCTTTTTCCTTTCTCCTAGGATTCTTACATACCCAAACAAATGAATTTCTCAGGAAAATGGTTCTCTGAGAAAGCAATGGATTTTATGAGCTGATCATTAGTGTTTAAGAATGAAAACCAAAGTTTAATATCTTGTTATCTCAGGTTTCCTGATAGGGAGGTTGGGCAGTTTCCCATGGCATACGTGGTACGAAAAGGTGGAAGTGATTTGTCGGAAAATGATGTCATGGACTTTGTTGCTAAACAGGTGAATCTAAAATTTAAGCTGAGGTTAACAATTCATTCAACTCATGAACGCCTCTCTAATTGAAGGTGAATTCTGTGGTGCACACCCACGAAAGTTACTATTCAATGTAGTCACATTATGACACGATGTGATTGCCGATCACATTAAATTGTAACTTCGACTACATTCAGCTGTAACTTTTTGAGGGCATGAAACTGTGTAACACACCACACACTAACCTCTAATAGAGTTGTCCTTGCATTATTATTCACCTGGATCAACATTTGATTTGTCACTTGTTGAAAGTGGGAGATTTAACAATCTAATAATCTGGGAATTGCAGGTTGCTCCATATAAGAGAATCAGGCGAGTGGCGTTTGTAGATTCCATCCCCAAGAATCCGTCAGGCAAGATACTTCGGAAGGACCTCATAAAACTTGCAACCTCTGGCTCTAGGCTGTAGGAAATATGCTTTTAATTTTTGTTTTTGTTTTTGTTGTGAGTGGAGTTTGGGGAGGAGCTGTGAAATTGATTGTCATAGTGTTTGGCTAAATCGTATTTGGACTTTATGCTAAAAGTGAAATATATGTATTATGTTTTGATATCAGCTATGTTGAATGAATCTCTTCTTTTTATTAGACAAAAGGCCAAAGGAGAAAAGCCAAAATGTGCTGTAAATTTGAGAACTAATTGCTCCTCTTTTGACTGCCAAAAATGGTAGAGATCTTAAAAGTTTTACCAAATGCTCTTCATGCGTATGAGACTCACATGTGGATCGTACATTCATGTGAGACATTTGATAGAAATTTTAATAGAATTTTTAAAATTTCTAACATTACTCTTTAACTGGACCAACATTCAATTCAACAACCATTCAAGTCTCACTTGGTTCTTAGTTTGTATCACAATCTAAAAATATAGATTTTTTAAAATTTTAATTTTTTTGTTATTTATTTTGAAGGCTTGCCTGGGTAACTTCTGTCTGGAACTCGTTCATTTTGTGGCTAGAGACAAACAGAACAATCCAAAGATGAGATAGGAAATTAGGTGAGTAGTTGAAATAGAATTAATTATCCTTCAACCTTTTAATCTAGAATGTGTGAGCTCACCCATTTTTTTTTTTTTTGATCAATAGTAATTTTCATTAAGATAGGAAAGTCAAACGATATTTGCAAAGAAATCCAATCCAACAAAATAAAAACTTATACCAAATAAAGAAAAAATCTTTAAAGAAAACACGAAAGAGAAGCTATAAATATATCAAGATGCAAAATTCATGCTGCGAAGTAGAAGTCGATTATAAGATTTCAATACTAGAGCAAGTATGAGATAAATAAACAAGTTACATCCATAGAATATGTAAGGTACAATCAAAGTACTGATGGAAACTTAACCACAACCAAGCAAAAAAATAGAAATATGGAAAAAACCTTCAAATCCCCGACAATGGAAAGGCGGCAACAAAAATGATAGCCGGAGGGAAATCTGGTGGAGATGAAGAAGTGGAGAAGGGGTGGAGGTAGATCTAGTGAGGGTGTGACCGTGGAAGCGAAGAGGGGACATATCTGACGGCAATGTAGTGGTAATGGCACCGAAGAGAGGCAGAGGAGGGAAAAAAGCAAATCCGATGAACAAAACATCTCACAAGGAGGAAGAGGGTTGGAAAGATGAAACTTCCAAAGTTATTAAGCAAAAAGCAAAGAAAAAGGAAGAAAAGAGGGTAGAAAGAGAAGACAGGAAACCGGAGACCGAAATTCCCTCCCCACCTTGACGGCGGCACACCCAAAAATCCTAAGAGATGAAAAGTTTAGAAAGAGAAGCCTTGGATTTAGAGAGAGAAAAACCGCCGGTCTTTGTGAGCTCACCCATCTTAAAACTATTAATTTGTGTCAACTTTGCGGATCCAATTTCAATGAATATAGATTGGATGTGTGCGCTCAGCTATCTGAAACTTTTTATTAATGTCAATTTCGCTGATCCAACTCTGATGAACGTAGATTTCGAAATGTGAGCTCAACTTGGCTGTGCCAACTCCAATGAACATTGATTTCGAAGTGTGAACTCACCCGTCTTAAACTCTTAATTTAGGTCAACTTCATTGATCCCAATACCAAATAAACTTTTAATTTGCGTCAAGTTCATTGATCCCAACACCAAAGAACATGCATGTCGTACATGCTATGAAATTATAACCTATATGCAGCAATTAGTTTACCAATTGGAAGGCTCATTTTAGCCCCATTTGTTTTGGCTTAAAAGTAAAACATTGAATCTTTCTTTTTCATTCAATCTGCTTTCCTTTTGTTCCACTTATTTGTAATGGAATAGCGCATGGTACTGCACACCATGCTTTGTCAATTGATGAGGCTCAAGTGTGGGAAGTATATTTTCCATCCTAATATTTACGCTCTCATCAATTTGATATTGGGCCGCTATAAAACTCCTCTTTCTTTGGCCAAAAAAAAAAAAAAAAAGATTTTTTTGAAACTAAAAGCCAATTAAAAGCTACAGAAGAAATGCTAATTAAGAAATTTGAATAAGATATATATATATATATATAAAGAAAGAAAAGAAGTTAGTTCCAAACGAGGCAGAGAGTGTAACAATATTATGTTAGGTCATCAGGTCTTGTGCTAATGCATAACAATATTTAAAAAAAAAACAAAAAAGAAACCCAAAACCTACAAGCAGCAGCCGCATCTTAGCAAAGTCAGAAAATGATAAGTAACAATTGGATCATATGGTTTTGAAGTAACCACATCAATTATATTCCTTAAACAGCTCGCTTTAACTGCATACATGTCAATAAACAAAAAGCTGAGGATGGACAAAAAACAATGGTCAAGAATGCCGACATTTTACACAAGAAAGTGTGGTTGCTTGGGGAAAAAAAGTCCCCAACTCCATAGAGCTTTCTTTACATTGACAATGGAAGAAGCATCCTTCGTTTCTTTTTCCGAGCCAGTCTTACTTGCTTTGTGATTTTCATGCACACAAATAGTAGCAATGTGATGCAAACTAATATAAATGCAAGTTTAATATGCCTGACATATAATGAAACAGCTGAGAAAACCAGGGATGCTAAAATGACAAGTTCCCATATTACAAAGATCGTCTGCATCCATAGAAAGCGAAAGCCAAAGCAAGACAATTAGATGTCAGAGTGGTGCTGTTCTTTATTGCCCAATACGGATTTATCATCATATAGCACAAACAATGGGATTTGTTATTTTTTAAAGAACCACCTCATTTGTGCCATTGCAAATGGATAATGAAATAATTAAAAGAAAATCCTGAGGAAAAAGACTTTCGGTTGGATCTCACATAAGTTCATGTTGGTGATGAATTTAAAGGTTCACACAGAATACTCTGTTTTTTCCAGCTAAATTCCTTTCTAGTGTTTCAATCTCAACCAATATGAATACATGATAGAACACAATATTTGCCAACAGAAATCCTTATGAAATGATCAAAAATCAACAATTATGCTACACAAAACAAGCTTCTTTTTCATTAAAAGTCAGAAATACTAAAATTTTATAATACCAACTCCAGATTCAAATTGCAAAATGGCAAAGACTTAATACACTTAGGTCATGTTTGTTTGGGAGAACATGAGCTTGGGATTGGACTAATAGTCCAATAAAATTATTAATCCGATGTTTGGTTAAACAATTGAAATACGGACTAATTATTTTAAACTTAACTATTAGTTAAGATAGGATACATAATCCAACGGATTCGTAGTCCTAGGACTATTAGTCATGGGAATGTTAATCCAGTCCGTCCAAACAAACATGGCCTTATTCACAAGATTAATAGTGAAGTATTAATAATCTTATTAAATTAGTGTGGTATTCACTATCCAATTGGATTAATATCCATTGGATTAATAATCCCACCCCTACCCTATTACTAATAATCCTACAAATTTGTTGGATTAATTATCCAATGAATTAATAATCCTAAACCAAAATGTTAAAACAAACATTGGATAATTGGGCCCACGGATTAATAATCCCAATCTTATGCTCTAATCCACCCAATCAAATATACCCTATAGGCTATACTTAAGGAAGTGAATGGATATTAGCAAATTTAGTATCTAGAGCAATAAGCACGCAGAGAACCAGAAATATAAATTTAAAATTAGTCCCTAAACAATTAAAAAAAAATACTCAAAAAAAGAAAAAGAAAACATCAAGTCAACAAGTGTTTGTCCTAATTCCTTGAGGTCAGCCACGTTGATCATATTTCCTCCAGTTGGCTCTAATAGAAGTCATGCCCTCTCTCTCAACTTTTCAGAGTCAATACTCGTATTACCATAAAAGAAATGCAAGGCCTTCACCTAAGCACAGGATAGAGCTAAGCAAAAGACTATACAAATAGAACTTGGACCTGCTAATTATTTTTCACTTTTCATGACATACAAATCCAGCTTTATCCAACCGGGGCCGCATGCAAGAAGGGAGGTTTATAATTGATGAGAGACGGAGCATGTTTAATTGTTATACTGAATTTAGTCTCTCTCTAGATGGACATAACCATTTCTCCAAGCAAAATCAATTCTTGCTTTCCTTTCCTTTGTGTGTGAAGTTTTAAGACTTAATACACTTATAGGCTATACTTGAGGAAGTGAATGGATATTAGAAAATTTAATATCTAGAGCAATAAGCACGCAGAGAACTAGAAATATAAATTTAAAATTAGTCACTAAACAATTAAAAAAAATACTCAAAAAAAGAAAAAGAAAACATCAAGTCAACAAGTGTTTGTCCTAATTCCTTGAGGTCAGCCACATTGATCATATTTCCTCCAGTTGGCTCTAATAGAAGTCATGCCCTCTCTCTCTCTCTCTCTCTGTCTCAACTTTTCAGAGTCAATACTCGTATTACCATAAAAGAAATGCAAGGCCTTCACCTAAGCACAGGATAGAGCTAAGCAAAAGACTATACAAATAGAACTTGGACCTGCTAATTATTTTTCACTTTTCATGACATACAAATCCAGCTTTATCCAACCGGGGCCGCATGCAAGAAGGGAGGTTTATAATTGATGAGAGACGGAGCATGTTTAATTGTTATACTGAATTTAGTCTCTCTCTAGATGGACATAACCATTTCTCCAAGCAAAATCAATTCTTGCTTTCCTTTCCTTTGTGTGTGAAGTTTTGGTCTTTTCTTTGCCATTTTCCATTGACAGCTTGTCCACCACAAACCCACTTCAGCAAGCAATTTTTATGAGTGGTAGAAATAAAATTAATGAAAGGCATCACAACAACAATATTTCAACCACCATTATTAAAAGTTAAATGCTAATAAGTCTTACATCACCAGAGACTCTAAGCCGTCTCAAATCTGGTCATAATAACAACAAAAAAAAAAAAAAAAGAAAGAAAAAAAAAAGAGTTGATCATGTCAAGGGACGAAGGGGTTGAAATTGAACAGAGTCATTTCTTCAACAGTCAACAGTCAAAATTCCCATAAAATAAACCAAGCAAAATATTTATTTGACAGAATGAATTATTCCAACACCAATTAACAATTGAATTATGGTTTGGTAGTTTCGACCATATATTTCTTAATTCATGCTTTTACACTTCAAATACCTATAATCATAAATTCTACCAATGTACACCAACAACCTAACGGATCCAATCGGACCCAATAATCATCCAAAATAAAAATTATTAAATTAAATTATAAGTAGCTCTAATCAGAATTTCGATCACGCAAGCACGTAACAATTATGAAAAAAATTGGGGGTAAAAAAAAAAAAACCCTCAAATTAGGATTCAAATGAAAGGGTGATTAGATTAGAAGGATACCTCGAATGAGTGAGATTAGAAGTAGAGGAGAAGATAGAGACAGAAGCCCAATCGTACTTGGATCGAATTTGATACTCCCTAAGCTGTTCCGCCAGATTCGATCGTGTTATCATCGATTCGTTCCCTCCTCCGCTGTCTCTCTCTCTAAAATCTCTCAAATCTTGAAATGTCATTTTGCAGATTCAACAAGAGAAGAAGACGAATTTGAATTCCCCACGAGAACAAGGGGGGAGAAAGGGAAAAGAAAAGCATCAGCTTCTCTTTCTCCCTTCCTTTCTCACCTTGTTTATTTCTTATTATGTTTTTGAATAAATAATCCTACATTTATATGAGAAAACAATGATTGGACATATTTAAAAGAGATAAATTTTGAGATTTTTTTTTTTTTGGAAGGTTTTGGTATTAAAATTTTATAAAAGAAAAAATATATAAGCCATAGTGTAACGGTTGCGGTAACCGAAACCGTGAATTTTTTTATTTTTCGCACAATTTGAAAAAAACTTACTGATACTCACATTTTTTTTCCATGATCATATTTATTGGGTTTAAAATAAATATTGATCAATTTTTGTAAATTTTTAAGTATGATTCAATGTATTTCATATTTTTAAATCACTATAAATTGAGTTTTTTACATTTTATTTTAATAATTGACTTTATATTATACAAAAAAATCAATCACTAATTATTATATATAAGATAAACAATGACAAAAGTAAAATTTTTAAAATATATATATATATATATATATATATAGATTTTTTAACTTTTTTTAAAAAAAATTTACTGTCAAAACAAATTTTAATCAACAACGCCATGTTGAAAGCCACGTGCAATAAGATAGATATATTTTCTCTATTTTAAATTTTTGATCCATTTTTGTTATCCCAAATAATTGTTTATGTTTCTTATTTTTTATCTACTGCTATGCAAATGGGCATACATTGTTATGGGTTTGCCCAGAAGCAATTTTGAAATTTTGACTTTTAACTTTTGACTTTTGACCAGCCCAACCCACAATAGTGCCAAAATCCTAATTTGTTTAAGGGCAGTATAGCTCTGGCCCAATAATTATCTTGCACAACTGGAGCAAATCCAAACATTATTCTACAATTAGAAAAAGTGGGCTTCGTACAGCGCAGACCCATAGGGGCTCACAATTTCAAATGGAGCTATGTTATATAACCAAAAACAATTTTATGAAAACTTTCTTATTGTTCTTATTATATTATTAAAGTGTGTTCTCTTTCAATTTTCAAAATTTCATCCCACTCTATTCTACTAAGAAAAGTATGAAACCCCAAGGCACTTTTCACGCTTTTAAAAAAAAAAAAAATTAATTTTTTTATTACTTTCAAAACATCCATCGCACAAATCTCACAACAATTGTTAATATTTTTCATTAACGAATCAAGTTTTTTAGGTTATAATAAAGTTTATAGTAGTAAATGAAACTGTTATCGACTTCCTTTTATGGTCATTTTATTAAAGACCCCATTAAATATGTTTTTTTAATGTAAATTAGGTTATTAATTCTGAGTCAATTCTAATCACCAAAAAAGAAACCACATGGTTATTAATTCTATTAATAACTCTGAGCACATTGATACAATTAGAATTTAGAGGAGAAACCATACATCAGACATCAAACCTTCATAAGCTTCTTGTGTATGTGACTCTAAATGGATCTACTAAAACCAAGCCCTGCTAATTCATGTCCTCTCACTCCTCTAACATTTCTCGAAAGAGCAGCTACAATTTACGGTGACTGCCCTTCCATTGTGTACAACACCACCACTTACACGTGGTCACAGACTAACTGTCGATGCATCCGACTGGCTTCTTCCATTGCATCACTTGGCATCGGGAGGGGCCAGGTGGTGTCCGTCGTGGCCCCCAACATACCCGCCATGTACGAGCTACAATTTGCTGTCCCCATGACCGGTGCAATTCTTAACACCGTTAACACACGCCTTGATGCCCGTATGATATCAGTGCTCCTCAATCACAGCGAATCAAAACTCGTATTCGTAGATTCACAAATGAAATCTCTTGTCATCCAAGCGATCACATTGTTGCCATCCGAAGCCCAACACCCTCTTCTCGTCCTCATCACGGACGATGAGGTCTCTTTTAATCTATCATCATCAACGGCTGTGGACATTGGTTACGAGGATTTGGTAAACAGGGGTGATCCGGAGTTCAAGTGGGTCCGACCTGAAAACGAGTGGGACCCAATGGTCTTAAACTATACATCCGGCACAACCTCATCTCCCAAGGGTGTGGTCCATTCCCACCGTTCGATTTTCATCATCACAGTCGATTCTTTAATCGATTGGGCAATGCAAAAGCAACCCGTTTACCTGTGGACCCTACCATTGTTTCATTCCAACGGTTGGAGCTTCTCTTGGGGAATGGCAGCCGTTGGTGGGACCAACATCTGTCTACGAAAATTCGACGTGGCACTCGTCTACCATTTGATAAATAGATACAATGTAACACATATGTGTGGTGCACCCGTGGTGCTAAACATGCTATCAAACTTTATTTCAACACCTTTGAAAAATCCAGTCCACTTTTTAACTGGCGGAGCTCCACCACCGGCGGCGGTGCTCCTCCGCGTTGAATCGATGGGTTTTGTGGTAAGTCACGGGTACGGGTCGACGGAAGTGGCTGGGGTGGTGGTGTCATGCGCGTGGAAACAGAATTGGAATACATTGCCGGCGACAGATAAGGCGAGGATGAAGGCTAGACAAGGCGTGAGGACAGTTTGCATGACTGAGGCGGAAGTAGTGGATTTCGTGTCGGGAATGAGCGTGAAGCGAGATGGGATGACGCTAGGAGAGATTGTTTTAAGAGGTGGGTGTCTGATGCTAGGTTATTTTAAAGACCCAGAATTGACATCTCAATGCATGAGAGCTAATGGTTGGCTATATACTGGAGATGTGGGAGTGGTGCACCCAGATGGTTACTTAGAGATCAAGGATCGATCCAAGGACGTAATTATAAGTGGTGGCGAGAATGTGTGTAGTGTTGAGGTTGAATCGATTTTGTATAGTCACCCGGCGGTTAATGACGCCGCGGTGGTTGCCAAACCCGATGAGTTCTGGGGAGAGACTGGTTGTGCTTTTGTAAGTTTGAAGGATAGGATTGATGAGAAGGTGAGGGAAAATGATGTGATCGAGTTTTGTAGGGCTAGGTTGCCACATTACATGGTGCCCAAGACTGTGGTGTTTATGGAAGAACTTCCCAGAAGCTCAACGGGGAAGATCCACAAGTTCTCTCTCAGAGATATTGCAAAGAGCATGGGCTCATCGCCACCCGGTGGAATGTAGAGTTATTGATCAAATCCACCTTTTTTTTTTAAATTAACTTTTGCAAATTAAGTGGTTTTTAAATAAATACTTAAATTTTATGTTGTTTCTTTAAAAATATGTGTTACGAATTAAATTCAAAGTTATTTAAGCCATGTTTGGCTCTCTTTTGGATTCACAGTTTCAATGAAAAAAAATAAAATTTTTTTTTCAATACTTGTAACTAAATAAACAATTCAAAACTCAATTTAAAAATTATTTTTATAACTCATCATCAAATACACAGCTCAAAATTCAATTCAAAACTCTCTTCAAAATTCAAAATCAAACTCTTTTCAAAACTCTATTTAAAAGAAAAAATTCAATTTTTTTTTATATCGTTTTTTTAATTTATTTTTAGAATCATGATTTGAATATAAAGTCGTGTTTTGAGTTATGAGTTTCGAATTGATTTCTGAAAATAGAAAATTTATTTAGTTATGAGTTTTAAAAAGAGTTTTGAGTTGTATTTTGAAATTTTTTAGATTTATTTTTTTAAATATTTAAAAAAATTCTTAATCTTATTTTTAGGGTAAATATTTTATATTTTAAACATTTATTTATTTATTTATTTCTTTTAATGTGCACTATATTTTATACATTTATGAGTTGTATTTTTTAAAATATTAAAAAAATTAAAAAATCTATTTTAAATATTTTTTGCTTTTTATTTTATTTTATAAATATATTTTTAAATATTTTTATTTTTTTGTTAAGTGTTTGGTTACTATTTGAGTGTAGAGTTTTGAAAGTAGTGTGAAATTTCAAGTTATGGGTTTGGTTATGGGTTTTAAAAATAATTCTTGAATTCAGTTTTGAGTTATGTGTTTAGTTATGATTTGAGTGTGTAATTGTGTTTTGAGATTAAAATATTAAAATTAAAAAACTTAAAATATTTACAAAATAAAATAAATATTTAAATAAAAATTATATATTTAAAATAAAAAATAAAATTTTCTTAAACATTTTTTAATAGTTTAAAAAAATAAATCCAAAACATGCAAAATACAACTCAAAACTCAAAATTCTTTTCAAAATTCAAAATTCAAAATTTAAAAACTGTTATCCCAATTAGGCAACCCAAGAGGGGGGTGAATTGGGTTATTAAAAAATTTCACAATATTAAAAATAACACAATATTCAGAATTTGAATAAATAAATAAAAACAGAATAATAATTATCAATATAAAAGTAGGAGAGAAAGGGAGAGAAAATCAAACACTGCGATTTATAGTGGTTCGGCACGCCAGGCCTACGTCCACTCCCCAAGGAACCTCCTTGAGAATTTCTTTACTATCAATTGAATAAATACACCACCAAGCTTGTGGATTTGGCACAGGACTTACTCTTATCTATTAAGCCTTACTCAACAATAAATACCTTACCCTTACAAAATCTCTCACAAAAATAAAGAACAAGAATAAGTGGTACTTGAACCCACTTTTACAATAATTCTCTCACAAAGAGTAGATATGAAAGTGTAAGAACAAAGGCTAGACTTAGATTTGAAAGTGAAAGAGCAGAATACTCAGAATTTTGGAGCTCACAGAAAATTTTTCTCTTCAAGTTCTTGATTTTTTCTCCACACACAACACTTCTATTTATACACAAAAATATACCCGTTGACGCTCCTTGCTGACTCATGGATGACATCTATTTGTTTCAAATTGTCATCATGAGGCATCCTTTGTTTCAACTTGTCATCATAGGCATCTTTTCTTTTTGACAAACAAAGTGGCGAATTTGAACAAAACTCACAAACATGTGAGTTTTGACTAATATATATAGTAAAATATATATATATATAAAATATATAATCCTACAAAGTCCACATTATAAAGATGTAACTTTAACATTCAAATACAAAACTTCAACATGCGAATTAAAATTCAATATGCTGCAACTTTGCAACCATTTCTTTGTGTATTATATCATGCATGATTTTTTTTTTTTTTACATGCTAGTAATTAATGTTTCCACACACTAATATATATGATTGCTTCCGTGATTATGCTATTATATGCATTGTATAATGTTATCTATGTTCTGATCAAATATTTGCACACACAGAAAAATCTCTTTAAATAATATATTATGATGGATCTGAAAATATATGCCTCTTTAAAATATTGTATATGTTGTAGAGATTTTAAACTAAATATATTCTACCACTCCATATTAATTTTGTCAAAAAAGACAACTCATTAATCTCATATTTGTCAAGATAATACAACCAATCAATCATTTAATCAATTTTTTAATTTTGTCAAAAAGTGAATAGTGATCAACCTAAATTTTCAAAAAGTGAATAGTAAAGTTTTCAAAAATATTTTTATTATAATATTTAACAAATATATATATTTTTAAAAAGATAATATTTTGTGTCAAATAATATGTATATTAAAAAAAAATCCAAATTGTTACAAATAATATTTAGACATCATCAAAATTAAATAATATGATTAACAATTTTTCCCTTTTTGATGATGGCAATATTTGTATGGATTTGACACAAAATAAAATTGACAAAATATTTGATAACCCTGCAACATATAATTTTCAAAATCACATATAATTTTCAAAATCATATTTTTTCTCCCCCTTTGACATCATCAAAATAAAGATGAAGATAAGAAACAAGCACATTTGATACAATAATCTGAGTGGCCAAAAATAAAATAATGGGCCGTTTGTCTTGTCGGAATCATTATGGGGATTTTGGAGCATCTCGAGTGCAGGAAATATTGACAAACAAAATGTTTGAGCAGATATAGCAGATATGTATCGAGTAATGGATCAATGGAGTGTATAAAAAGTGACACAGATCAGAGGCAAAGATACGAAATCATCAAGTGTTTGAGAGAAAAATTTGTTTTAGCTTCTTTTGTAATCATGTCATTCCTTACCTTGTCTATCAATGAGTCGAACCTGCATGAAGTGCCTGTAATGCAGGAAAATGAGAGAGTACCAGTGACGCAGGCACATGTTATGCTTGTAAATGAGGGTTCTAGTGGTATTGGCAATCGAAACGATTTCGATGCTATTAATAACACTATGGCTCTTAGTACACAGGCCATGACTGCAGTTTCCAATATGGCGCGACGATTACAAGCAAGAGTACAAGAAAATCAGCAATGGAGAGATGAGGTGTGCTTGTTAAAACAACAAGTAGTGAATATGTGTAAGGAGAAGAAAGAGCTAAAAAGGAAAAATACAAAGTTGGAGAATGCAGTGCATTATTATGCAACGGTGATAATGCCAAGACTCACAGAAATCGAAAATAGAGAGAGACATGTAAAAGAGGCTCATGAAAAGTTGTTGAGAGAAGTGAAAAAGAAAAAATCTATGAAGCCTTCTAAAAATTTACATGTAATCGAGTAATATTTTCTTTTTCTAAAATAAAATTTCGAGCATTGCTTCCTTATTTATTTATTTATTTTTATTATTAATTTTTTTTTTAATTCTGTCTTTGCACAAAAAAAAACAAATTTGTTTGAAAAAACAAATTTGTTTGGTGGTGCAGATAAGGAGTATGGGAGATAAGGAGTAAAAAAATATATATATATGTATATATACTCCCCCTAAAATTATGCACAGAACATACACACGCCCCTTTTTTTTTGATATATATATATATATATATATTTATAATGATTGTTAATCTCAAAATATGAGTCTCCCCCTGAGTTAATGCACTAGAAATTTCATAAAATTGAAGAAATAAATTACCAATCTATGACACCAAAGACCCTTAAGATCTGGCCATAAACAACTACACCAAGTGCACTAGCAAAAAAGGAGAAAATAAAAATAAAAACAAATACTTCAATCAAGGTAGAAGCAACCAATATTAAATCCAAGAAAATTTGGAGCACATATAACAAGTAAAAAAATACAACACAGTGCAACAAAAATTACTCTCCATGCTTGGTTGGTTTTCTACAATATCATTACTTAAAAGATTCTTGGAAATAATATCGTTAGATTCATCAAAAACAACATGCACAGATTCTTCAACAAGTAGAGTTCTTTTATTAAATACTCTATAAGCTTTACTAGACATAGAATAACCAAGAAATATAGCTTCATCCGATTTAGCATCAAATTTTCCTAAGTTATCTTTATTATTATTTAATACAAAGCATTTACAACTAAAAGCACGCAAGTGACTAATATTAGGTTTTCTACCTTTCCAAAGTTCGTAAGGAGTTTTCTTAAGAATAGGTCTAATCATGGCACGGTTTATAACATAGCATGCAGTGTTAACGGCTTCTGGCCAAAATTATTTAGACAAATTATTTTCACAAAGCATAGTACAGAAATGTGTTTAGTGCGTGAGTGCTGAATAGGATTTTTTGAAAGGTTAATGGCACTTGTGTTGTCACATTTTATAGGAATATGATCATAGTGAAGTCCAAAATCTTGAAGTTGTTGTTTCATCCAAAGCAATTGTGCACAACACCCAGCGGCGGCAATGTATTCTGCTTCAGCAGTTGATAGAGCCACTGAGTTTTGTTTTTTGCAAAACCAAGAGGTGAGTGAGTGTCCAAGAAAATGACAAGTGCCACTAGTGCTTTTTCGGTCAAGTCTACATCCCGCAAAGTCGGCATCTGAGTAACCAAAAAGTTCAAAGGTGGTTCCCTTAGGATACCATAATCCCAAATTTTGAGTGCCGACAAGATATCTGAAAATGCGTTTGACTGCGGTGATGTGTGACTCTTTCGGTGCGGATTGAAAACGTGCACACATACAAACACTAAACATTATGTCTGGCCTACTTGCAGTAAGATAGAGTAAAGAACCAATCATACCTCGATATTTCTTTTCATCTACAGGTTTACCTTGCTCATCTTTGTCGATTTTTATCGATGTGCTCATTGGAGTCGCTGCAGGCTTTGAAGATTCCATTTCGAACCTTTTGAGTAGATCTTTGATATATTTCGTTTGATTTAAATGGATTCCATCATTAGTTTGTTTAATTTGTAGACCAAGGAAGTAATTTAATTCCCTTATCATACTCATTTCAAA